CCGTGTGAGGGGTGCGCCGAAATGGGGGCGGAACTGCATGCGAACTTTGCCACTGGGGCCTTCGGTGGATCTCCCTATGGGGCCACGAACCGTGTGAGGGGTGTGCCGAAATTGGGTGGAAGTGCATGCGAACTTTGCCATTGGGGCTTTCGGTGGAGCTCCATATGGGGCCACGAACTGTGTGAAGGGTGCGCCGGAATGAGAAAGGAACTGCACGCGAACTTTGCCATTGAGGCCTGCAGCAGAGCTACCTAAGGGGCCACGAACGTGTGAGGGGTGCGCCGAAATGGGGGTAGAATTGCATGCGAACTTTGCCACTGGGGCCGTCGGTGAATCTCCCTATGGGGCCACGAACCGTGTGAGGGGTGTGCCGAAATTGGGTGGAACCGCATGCGAACTTTGCCACTCGGGCCCTCGGTGGAGCTCCCTATGGGGCCATGAACTGTGTGAGGGGCGCGCCGAAATGGGGGCGGAACTGCATGCGAACTTTGCCACTGGGGCCTTCGGTGGATTTCCCCATGGGGCCACGAACTGTGTGAGGGGTGCGCCGGAATGGGATGGAACTGCATGCGAACATTGCCACTGGAGCCTTCGGTGGAGCTCCCCATGGGGCCACGAACCGTGTGAGGGGTGCGCCGAAATGGGGGCGGAACTGCATGCGAACTTTGCCACTCGGGCCCTCGGTGGAGCTCCCTATGGGGCCACGACCGTGTGAGGGGTGCGCCGAAATGGGGTGGAACTGCATGCGAACTTTGCCGCTGGGGCCCTCGGTGGAGCTCCCTATGGGGCCATGAACCGTGTGAGAGGTGAGCCAAAATGGGGGTGGAACTGCATTCGAACTTTGCCATTGAGGCCTGCAGCAGAGCTACCTATGGGGCCACGAACCGTGTGAGGGGCGCCGAAATGGAGGCGGAACTGCATGCGAACTTTGCCACTGGGGCCTTCGGTGGATCTCCCTATGGGGCCACGAACCGTGAGAGGGGTGGGCCAAAATGGGGGTGGAACCGCATGCGAACTTTGCCACTGGGGCCTTCGGTGGAGCTCCCTACGGGGCCACGAACCGTGTGAGGGGTGGGCCACAATGTGAAGTGGGGAGAAGAGGGAGGAGGGGGAGGAAAGCGGGAAGGAGGAACGCGGGGACCGTCTCTTCAAAACGAGGACCCAACACCACAGGATGGTTGGGAACCAGGATGCGCAGCGACGAGCCCAAAAACGTTGAACAAGCGGATCTCAAAATGCTAAACAGCAATCGCGACGTTTAGCGGGAACTTTTGAAACAAAGAAAATCGCCAAGGGCGCTGCAGAGCCAAAACGGAAACGGAACGCGTCAACAGTCCAGGTGCTGTATATATGCGCTCCCCTTCGAGAGAGAGAGCCGCCGCTGCCTCGACGTGGCCCTCCCCCGAGACGTGCTCCGCGCCTAAAACCTCTCCATCTGTGCGTGCGCTTGGCCAGGGGGAGGCGACGCGCCCTCCGAGTTCCCGGAGAGGACCGGCGGCCTACCTGGTCTTCTTGGCGGCGGCGGGGGTCTCCTGGATGTCCTGCAGGCACAGGGGGCACACCTGCGGGGTTGACCCAGCAGGGGTCCAGCGACGAAAAGGGGTGGTGCAATAGATCTTGGTGCAAGAAGTTTGTGGGGTTGCAATACACTTGGGGCGTGCAAGACATTCCGGGGCGCCAGTGTATTGCTGGACTGCCGCGTGCAATACGCTCCCTGCAATACAATACAATACCATCCTCTGGCGCAATACACTTGCGATGCAATTGCCCCAAATCTATTGCACCACCCCCTTTCAGCTGAACCCCTTTAGGGTCACACGGAACCTTGTTTCGCTTCAGCCACTTGTCTATAACAGAGGAACAGCAGGCAGCATGACCATTCACTTCCGACCGTCTGCGCGGAGTCCTTGGATCGGCGCTGGGCCCCTCTGGTGGCGCCTCTGGCGCTGGGAGGGGGGTCCAGCGCAGATCCAAGACATCCGCGCGGCCTGCAAAAGCTTGAGGGGTGTCCAGCGCAGATCCAAGACATCTGCGCGGACGTCCGGAAGTTCGTAGTCATGCAGTTTGGGGTTCCTCTGGATACAACCTGTGTGGAAGTGGTGCTTGCAGGGGAGCTGGCGCAGCTCGTCGCCTGCCTCGAAGCCCGCCGGGGCCCTCGTGGGCCAACGGGGCGTCAGACCGTGCCTCCCCCCCCCCACGACCTTGAAGCACTGGGCGCCTCACTTGCTATCGCATTCCACTGCCTGCTCGGCTCACGACCATCGGATGGCTTCCGGCTCAGCCTAAACTGTCCCGGTGGATGTGGCAGAACTTTCAAAGGACCGCTGAGCCACCTAGACGGCCCGGGGAGGCCCCAGAGACGGCCTTCGAAGGCGCCAGACGGCGTTCGAAAAATGTCCCCACGATGCCTCCGAGAGGCTCCCGGGCCTTCCCTAATTCACAGGCGGCAGGCCCGCACCCTGACGACCCTGGCGCTGGTTCCTGACACCGCGGGGATCGCTCCGTCTTGAACGATCGGCGGCCTCTCGATCGCCGCACCGTTCCACGGCGGTTGGAGGCGGCCGGGGGGGTCTGACTTGGCGAGGACCCCGGGAAGTCGGCCAGGAGGGGAGGGATGATGCCAAATCCGTCGAAGATCGGTCACCGGACCCCTCCTGAGTCCCATCTGGTGTAGTCCCTCACCCCGAGCCGTCTCTGACCGTCCCTGAGGGCGGCCCGAAATCGGCCCCGGAGACGCCGTACGCTGCACACTCCGGGCGTGTCCCCCGCGAGGCGGTGTGCATCGCTGAGGCACACGGCACAGCTCGTCTCCTGGCAGCCCCGGCACGCCGGTGCGCCGTACTGCACGAGCGGCATCCTGTCGATGATGTCCTGCGTAGCCCCTCGCGGCTTAGGCTGGGGCTGCACGCCCTGGCGCGGCGGGAAGGAGTGGTAGAAGACGGCGGGAAGCTGGCAGCCACACTCCCTCCAGCTCCTCCGCCTCTCCCTCCTCCTCATCCTCCTCCTCCTCCTCCTCCTCCTCCTCCTCCTCCTCCTCCTCCTCCTCCTCCTCCTTAGGGCGACGAAATCGATGCATGCCTATACAACCAACCTTCGGGTGAGATGGAGGTTCGGAGGGGGAGTGAACCAACGTCTTACTCAACCGATCTCACTGTCGGTCCCACTACCGATCTCACAAAATCGACGTCGTTCGATCCTCCTCACTATCGAGCTCACAATCGGTCTCACAATCGATATCACTATCGATCTCATTATAGATCGCACTATCAATTTTACTATCGGTCCTCTATGGATCGAACACACTATCGAACACACTATCGATATCACTATCGAGATCACTAACGATCTCACGATCGATCACACGATCTGTCTCACTATGTATCGCAAAACCATGACCGATCACGCTTTCGACCTAACTATCAATCCCGTTATCGATATCAGTATCGATATTACTATCGGTATGACAATTCATCTCACAATCGCTCTCACAACCAAGCGCACTATGGATCTCACTATCGATCCAACTATCGAACTCACTGTCGATATCTCGATCGACCTGACGGGACACCACGGGCCACCACGGGCCAGAACGGGACACCACGGGACACCACGGGACACCACGAGACACCACGGGGGTACCATCGGGACACCATCGGGACACCACCGCTGGCCAACAGGGGGGGAGGGGCGGTCTTTGGGCCCGGCGGCGCCCTAGCCACAGGAGGGTTCTTTCCTCTCGAGCGCCCACGCAGCTTCGCTTGGCCCGCACGCACGACACGAACACAAAACCTTTACCGAAACCGATTTCCCGGGGGGGGGGGGGGGGGGGACTCCCCTCACCTCCGATCCACTGCTCCATGGCCAGTCATGGCTTGGCCAGAAGGGCGCGTACACAGCTCCTGGGCTCACGAAGGGCCCGGCCAGGGGGGCAGCTCCCCCTCCTGCTCCTCCTCCTCCTCCTGCTGCTCCTGGACCGAGCTCCTCCTCCTCCTCCTCCTCCTCCTCCTCCTCCTCCTCCTCCTCCTCCTCCTTTTCTCCGTCGTCCTCCACTGTCCTTGTCTATCCTTCCCTTAGCAGGCAGTTTCTGTGAGGTCTTCGTAGAAACAATTAAAGGCTGTTCACCCCGATTGAGGGGCCAGTACGGCCGGATCAACTGAGATGGAGCCTGGGATTAAAACAGACGCACCGGGGTTCAACAAACGGACTTATGCGGGACTGTGCCCGATTTAGCCGGTTCTCAGCAACTGGAAGACCAACGCTGATGCAGAATTAAACCCGTCTGCATCCTGTCTGCCCCCCGCCCTCCTCCCTCCCGGGCTCCTCATCCTCCTCTGCGCCTTCCTCCTTGCCGTCTCGCCCTCTTCGCCCACCTCCTCCGCCGCCCCCAGGAGCGCCCAGACTCGAATCGACAGGTCGGATCGGCGATAAAAATGAATCCCATCGGCGGTCATCGGCAGCCAAGTCGCGAGAAGTCGACTCGGAGGATATCGGCAGGCTAACAAGGCCTCCACTCAAAAATCGAAATCCGAATCGGGATCCGAAACCGAATCGAATCGGAGTCGGAACCGATCGAAGCAGAATCGCATCGAGTCGGAGTCGAAAGGAGCCCTGCGCCCCCTGCAAACCTGCACCAGCACCACCCAGAAACCTGACCCGGCAGCCGTCTCCCGGGCCACAGACGTTGCTCGCTGCGAGAGCCCCGTGGCGCGGGCCCGGAAGGCCACCAGCCTCGGGCCCGGGGCGAGCCGGGCCAAGCTTCGTGACAGGAGGTGCGTGGGAAAAAGAAGCAACAGCACAAGCCGTACACCATGCGAAATGCTTAAGAAATCATGGGTTAAGAAATTCATAGTCTCAGAAATTGAATAAAACCCAGAACTTCTATCAAAATCTTAGGATTCACATTGAAAAGTTAAGAATAATCGAAACTCTGGACGAAAACTTAGGTTTTCTTAAGCATCGCCTAGGGTGTACGCGAGGAGTCGGAGGTCCACGCGGGTGTCTCAGATCGGCCCTGGGCACCCATACCTGGCGCGCGGAGCGCGCCAGGTGCGGCGCTGGAGGCGCCGCCAGGTGGGGCCAGCGCCGATCCACGAAATCCGAGCGGACCTCCGAAAGCGCATGTCTATGCAGGTGTGTCTTCTTCTTCTTCGAGCGTGGCTGCCAGCTTCCAGGATAATCAGCGTCATCAACAACCTCGCGATCGCAGTGAAAATAACTGCCAAGGACAGCCTGTAAAGTCCCGGGCACGGCTTGCAGTAGGTGGAGTTCAGGAGCCAGACAACCCCTAGGATGAACCAGCCGTAGGTGATGACGGACACCATCTTGCTGGCCCGCCAGGCCAACGAGTGCGTGAGCTGCCTAACGCAAGCTTGGACGTCGCCGTTGCGTCCCTGAACACGGCAGAGCCTCAGGAAGAAAACCAGCTTGACGGGCGCGTGCACCGCCTGCAGTACGCAGTGGACTAGCACCCAGTACCGCAGTGGTCGGTTGCACAGCTCACAGGGGGCCCAGTACGTGAAGAGGAATACGCTGCAAGGGACGGCTGAAGGACAAAACTTTCTTGCGAACACCTTGGCGTCAATGACCGGCCGCAGACCAGCTCCCTTTCTCCTCCTCCGCCTCCTCCTCCCCCTCCTCCTCCCCCTCCTCCTCCTCCTCCGCCTCCTCCTCCCTCCTCCTCCTCCTCCTCCTCCTCCTCCTCCTCTCCTCCTCCTCCTCCTCCTCCTCCTCCTCCTCCTCCTCCTCCCTCCTCCTCCTCCTCCTCCTCCTCCTCCTCCTGCTCCTCCTCCCCCTCCTCCGCATCTGCATCCTCCTCCTCCGCCGCCTCCTCCTCCTTCTCCTCCTCTTCCTCCTCCCCATCCTCCGCATCTGCTCCTCCTCCTCCTCCTCCTCCTCCTCCTCCTCCTCCTCCTCCTCCTCCTCTGCCGCCCCCGCCTCCCCCGCCGCCTCCTCCTCCTCTGGAGCTGTCGGGCCCCCATGAGGCCCGAAATGGCCCCCACGAACGGATACAATCCCGCTTCGAGCGACCCTCTCGAGACCCAGACATTCTCCGCCGCGACTGTTGAACAGCGTGGCTCACCAGAGGTCTGGGACCCTTCCCCAGGGTCGGCTTCGCATCCCTAGTCGTCTATTGACGGTCCAGGCCTGGCGAGGGCCCCTGGATGCCGAACAGCACAAAACCCGTCGTGATTTTCTATTACGAGGGGGTGTCAGGGGCACTGTCCAGAAGTATTGCCCTTCAGCGGGATCAGGATCACGAGACCAGAGACGCTCCCGAAGAGCATCACTATCTTGATGAACCACGCCGCCTCCTCCGGGTACTGCTGCGTCACATCCACCAGCGGGTCGGCGCCCTCCTGGGCGTCCTCGGCGCTCTCGAAAAGGCCCTGCAGCCTCATGCGGATTCTCTGTAGGGCGAGGCGCCCCTGGTCCGCCATGCCTCGGCGGCAGGAGCCAGCAACGGGGGGCACGGCGACACCAGTCCACGACTGTGTGTTAGGACGCAGCTCTTGGGAGGTCTTCGCAGGAACGGCTCCAGGCTAAGCAAGCCCGATCAACGGGCCATCGAGTCAGATAAGGCCGTATTCAGCGGATGAGTGAGCCGAAATAGGCTGGATTAGTCGGGCGGCTCTCGACCACGGGATCTACGACGCTGAGTTTAACATCCCGAGAGTGGCATCCTAACTTGTGGGAGCTTCGACGGGTCAAACAAATTATGGCCAACCGCGGGGACCTACGACGGGGGAGGCGCCCATCTTCGATTACGGGCTTGGCGTCCGACTTGGTACCCCAGGGGTGTATTGGAGGCCTGGAAACGGGCACCAACACCAACACAGGGGGTTGCCTCCAGGGGGAAGATGATCCTAGATTCCGGTGTTGGTGGTAATATTTCGGTCGCCTTGGAAGCCAGAATGTTACCACCATCACCGAGATCGGGATCTTCTTCCCTCGGTGGAGGCACAACGCCGATATTGGTGTTGGTGTCAACCTCTAGGCCTGCGAGTGTATCCCTATAGCTTTTCCTTTGTTTTGAGCGGCTGGCTTTTGTGCGGGGGGCGGCCCAAGGGATTCGGGGCGAGACATCGCCTGCGAGCCAGAAACACCAAATCTTTCTTTCCTCCCTGGAAAGGCCGCCCAAACACGCACGGCACCGGCGATGCATGGGAGACGTCGGCGATGCATCGGCGACGCTGGCGTGGCGACCATCGGACTCCACGTCGCGCTGCACCGCCGATGCATCGGAGATGCGGAGCGGTGTGCCGATCCCATTCTGCTCGCACTCAGTCGCGCTCGTGCCCTGCGCCCAATCGCGCGGGCGAAAGAAGGCACTGCCCCAGCCTGATCTCACCGCTCTGCGGGGGAGGCGGCACGCTGGCGGTCACCAATGTGCATCGTCCGTGACAAGAACAGGGGGGCAGAAGAACCCCGACCAATTGCAGACGTCGACGGTTTACCAAAGGGCTTTTACTAAAGGGCTTCGACCGTGCTTTTACTAAAGGGCTTTTACAAGAGGGCTTTTACGAAAGGGCTTTTACTGAAGGGCTTTTACTCAAGGCCTTGTACTAAAGGGCTTCACCCGTGCTTCTACTGAAGGGCTTTCACTAAAGGGCTTTTTACTAAAAGGCTTTTACTAAAGGGATTCGACCGTCGGGGGGCAGGAGAACCACCCTCACGAGGAGAGGCACCCCGGCGGACGAGGCCCGTGCTAGTAAAGGCACCCCAGGGAGGAATCGAGCAGGGCAGGGCTGTTGGGTAAACGCCCATGGTAAAGGGGGTCGGGGATGTTTAGCAGACGTCATCTTGTTGGGGTCGGGGTGGTGCTCCCCCTCTCGAGGAGAAGGGGGGGGGAAGAGGACCGATTCTTGTGCGGGCTGGGCCCTCATTGTTTGGGGCGGCCTGGGTCCACGGGTCCACTTTGGGGGCCAATCTGCTTCGACCCCCATTTTGGGGTGGGGGCGGCCTGGACCAGCATCGATGGATCAATCTCCATACCATCCAAATCGGGTAAACGTTTCGCCCGCTGGCCGACCGACCTCCCCAGGTGGCGACGCCTTTTTGGTCGGTCTCCGCGGCCCCTAATTATCCCCATCTACAGACGGTGGGCTGGTAGCACTCGGGAACCCTAGCCCGCTGGGGACGGTGATAGGTACTCATGGTGCTGAGCAGCGGGAGGAGGCGACAGCGAATCGGCTGCACGCAGCCAGCCTTTACGGCGACCCCCCATCGCCGCCGAGGGCACCGAGAGAAATTGCGTGGTCGGCGCCGCCACAAATGGCTGCGTGCAGCAGCGTTCGGCTGCCATCCCCCACAGGATTTGGAGATGGGGAACAAACACATGCAGATACAGCTACTCGGAGTGCCTTCCAGCCAGAAGCAGACAAGCCCTTGAGGGCGTAGGTGGCTTGGGGTGCTTGCTCTTCCAACCATGTTCTTCTCCTTCGGGGAGGGGTTTACCACTGCTTTTTTATATACACCTCCTCCCCCACCTGACTGGGGGCGAACACGGAACCATGACCCCCCCCCACACCATCCCTACCAATACGAGGCGCAAGATGCGGCAAAATCTGGATCATGCGCGGGCACCAAGCGATCACCTTGCATGACTTGTTACAGGACGGGGGGGCATCATATTGCCACCCCTGTGCGCAGGCCCGTCAACCCTTTCAGACATTATACGAAACACACGTTCCAGCAACGATCATGCGCGGGCGCCCCGCGATCACATTGCATTGTAAAACCGCATGGGGGGATGGGAGGGTGCCCTGGCACGCGCGACTCACCTCGCGGGCGTCGCGCACCTGGCTGGCGTCTGAAAGCAGTTCCCGGTGCTGCTCGATGCCGCCCCCCTGCCCATGCCGACCCCTCGAATTCTACTAGGCGGTGCGTGGGCGGGCGGGGGTGAGCGAGACGGCCGTCCTTTGGGGCCCTGGGTCTGGAGCTGGCCCAGGATAACTTCAGAGGGCCCGAGACAGCCCAATGTGTCCTCCAAGACGACTCAAGATAGCGCATGGTCTCTCAAGATAGTTTCCACCATGCTCCAACAGGTACCAAGACCGCTCGAGCACAGGTCCAAGTGGCCTTAGAGGCCCCCCAGGACGCCCCTAAGAGGCCACAGCCCTTCCAAAAAAAACGGGATGACAATGAGTTGGCTCCAAAAGGGCCCAAGTGAGATCTTAAGGGGCTCCAAAACGAGTGCCCCAAGAGAGTCCCAAGAAACGATGTTACGGAATCTCGAAGGGCAATGCTAGTTAAGACATCCATTTTCGTTGCTCGATGTGTTCCAAAATGGTCCCAAGAATGCCTCTAAAGCTAACAGGAGGGCTCCAAGAGGGCCCCAACGGTAGGCTGCATACGAGGCGCCATAAGAGGCTCCATAAGAGGCCCCGTAAGAGGCCCCAACAACGTCCCCAAGGGCCCAAAAAAACCCTAAGAGGCCCACAGACGGTGCCCTAAGAAGCCACCAAGACCCCCCAGGAGACATACCAAACGACTCCGAGAGACAATCAAGAGGCCTGTTTGTCACTGAGATACCCCGATGTTCCTGTATGGGCTGGTGGGGAAATTAAATTGTTGTTCTTCGCGGGCGCGAGCGGACGCGCAGGCGCCGAGTCGACTTGGTGGGGAAACGCGAAACTTTGAGAATTTCGAAGAACATCCAGCCGTGGCGACGATGGTCCTCTGCTGGGCCATCCCCTACAACACTTCGAGAGCCACGGAGAACATAACAAAATGGCGGGAACGACAAAACCTAACATCCGCCGATCTGTTTTTAGTCCGCGGCCCCATACAGAGGTCCCGACCGCTTTCCCTGTTTGATAATTCCCAGGCGGGTGTCCGATAAGTGGAGGCATCCTGGATTGGAGTCGGACTAGATGGGGTCGGAAGATCGGACCGCATCACTAATGCATCGCCGATGCATCGGTACTACATCGGCGATGCATTGGCGACGTCGGCGTGGAGCAACTCGGGCCCCACTACGAGACGCATCGCCGATGCATCGGCGACAGAATACCCTTGCCTGAATAATGGGGGAAGGGCGAGTTTTATTGCCGAAAGCTTAGAGGCGGGGCCCGTAGAGGGAGACATCCTGGCAACGTGGGGCCAATCCCCGCTCAATGAGCCCAATCCCGGCAAATTCTGGCTTACACTGGGACCTACTCGTATCAATAAATTAACAAATGACTAGGTTCCGACGTGACTTGGATATCCTTGAGAATGCCCACTCGTGCTTTGCATCTTGGTACGCCGAGAGCGGACCCGGTTGTTCCCCAATCGGAGCTTGCCTCTGTAGGATCCTAGCGGATTCATATGGTTAGGCTAGCTGCGCCGACGATTTTGGCGGCCCGCCCGGGTGCCCCGGAGCTGCGTCGCCGATTTCGACGGCCCGCCCGGGTGCCCTGGCGCCCAGGTGCCCAGGTGCCCCATAGCCCTATACCCGTATAGCCCTACAGCACTCTAGCCCTATAGCCCTATGGTCCTATAGCCCAATAACCGAAGAACCCTACAGCCCTATATCCCTACAACCTGTAGCCCTATAGACCTCTAGCCCTCTAGCCCTCTAGCCCTTTAGCCCTCTAGACCTCTAGCACTCTAGCCCTCTAGCCCTCTCGCCCTAAAGCCCTATAGGCCTGTAGCCCTGTAGCCTTACAGCCCAAGAACCCAATAGCCCTATAGCCCAACAGCCCTCTAGCCCTCTAGCCATATAGCCTCATAGCCCCATAGCCCCACAGGCCCAACAAAAGAATATGATTCTGACTTCTTCTCGGTATTATTGAATAGTGTCAGTCGGGATGCTCCTACTACTAGACGGCGTAACGTAGCGGTAGAACTAGTAGTCGTGGTAGTCGTCGCTGTAGCTGTAGCAGTAGTAGTAGAAGCAGCGGTACTAATAGTATTAGTAGTAGTCGTAGACGTAGTAGTAATAGTAAGTAATCGTAGTAGAGGGCGTAGTAGTAGCAGTAGCAGCAGCAGCAGTAGTAGTAATAGTAGTAGTAGAAGTAGGAGTAGTAGTAGTAGTAGTAGTAGTAGTAGTAGTAGTAGTAGTAGTAGTAGTGGTAGTAGTAGTAGTAGTAGTAGTACTAGTAGTACTAGTAGTACTAGTAGTAGTAGCAACGGTACAAGTAGTCATAGTGGTGGTGGTAGTAAATGGTAGGAGTAGTAGTACCAGTAGTAGTAGTAGTACTAGTACTAGTAGTAGTAGTAGTAGTAGTAGTAGTAGTAGTAGTAGTAGTAGTAGTAGTAGTAATAGTAGTCGTAGTAGTAGCAATAGTGGTACTGACAATGCTGGCATCACCACAAAATGTGGGAATCGTTGTAGAAACGGTATCAGGAAAAGTATGCGTGGGCGCTGCATGAAGCATGGGCGTCGTAGCGAAAGTTGTAGAGGTAGTAGTAGCAGTAGTAGTTTACAGAAAACAGATTATGTGGGAATGCTCGTAG